CCAATTCCCCAGCGCTGTTCTCATCCCCCCAATTCCCCAATAAAAAACCTTTAAAAAATCTATTTTTCCTCATTCAGGGGCCTCGGGGATACAGAGGATACCCCAACAAGATTGCCAGTCACAACCAAAGAAGCCAACATGCTCTTCCAGGCGGATCTCAAGACCCCTTCCTCTCATCTGAGATCAGCTAGGGTGAGAGTTCCATGAATCCCCCAATAGGCAGGGACAGCTCTACGCCCCAGCAGGAAGCAGATACAGAAGGAAAGACCTGTCCCTCAGCTTCCCATAGAGATTTTATGGGATCACGTCTCTCAAGGGGAAAACTAGGCAGGCAGTTAGAGGCAGGCATTGGGTCTCTGCATTCCTGCACTTCCCACAGAGTGCGACCACCAAGGGGACCTTCCCTCTACACCCAAAACTCCCCTTTGTATTGTAATTACCTACCCCTGTGGGAAAACAAAAGGGCACAAAATACCCAACTAGATCAGAGTCACTCGCACCTGCACAGTGCCTCTTGTCAATCACAGGTGCCAATCAAGTGGTCCCACGCCCAGAAGGGAACAGCCCATTCTAGAGAAGGGATCAAAACTCTATGTCCTGGGAAGTCCGCCCTGCTCTTTTTGACCGCGTCTTCCCTTTTTGAACCCCTTCTTCCCTTTTTTGAGCCTTTTGAGCCTCGCCTTTGACCGTGGCTCGCTCCAAACTCTTTGAAATGTACTATCTCTTCAAATAATACTCCAGTATCTCATTCAATTCTTTGCTCGAGTTGCCAAGGACCTGGACTTTGCGCCGAGAAGGGCCCACTCTCCGACAACATCAGTGCAACTTCAAACCATCTAGTCCCCTAGTGGATTAAGGGGTTCAGACTCCATTCTGTCTGTCTATCAGAGGAAAGAGTGGAAGAAAAAACATCTAGAAACACTGTGACTTCTTATCCACAATTTCTGAATCTAATAAAAATCACTAGCAAGTCAAGAGATAGATCCATATTATTTAAAACAAGAGTAAAAGTAAAAAAATAGAAACAGGTGACCCAAATATTGGAGAAAGCAGAGAAGGAATTTAAAGTATGACTGATGTGCTCAAGAACTAGAAGGAAATATGCAGGAGTTAGATAAAATATTTAAAATATACCTAGGAATTTCTAATAATGGCTGAGTAACATCTTATGGAAATGAGCCCTCCACAAATAACCACTGTAAAATATGGACATAATACAAAAACACAACTACTTGAAGACACTGGAGAATGAAGGGAAGCAAAAGTTTGATGGAAGCCCACACTCAACAAGAATCATGCAAAGTTCCCCATTTTTGTTGTTTCTAGTTTGGTAGCAGGCAACGTGGTATGTAGGCTATGCTGGTGGGAAATCACAGGATCAGAGCACTACATCAGGACAACTCATGTTGCTGGAGAGGAAGCTGGGAATCTCAGAAGGGAAAGAGCCAGAGAGGGCGGGATCCCCAGTCTGTGTGCCCACATCTCTGCCCAAGCTCTGGACCATACGTGCAATTTAGCCTCAGTAACTCAGCTAAAGAGAAGATCTAAACTCAGATTGGAGCTGCCATCCAATAAGCGGTTTGTGGTGTGTATCCAGCCAAGCTATCTGCCTTATAAAATGAAAGAACCATCACTCTTTGGAGACAAATAATGGAAACCAGAGTCTCCGCAAATTAACATTCAAAACTGGCACTGACACTGAGATGATCTTGAGATTGGTATTAACAGACAGGATATTACAGCAGCAATGAAAATATATTCTCAGTGAATAAAAAGGTAGGCAGCCTCAGCGTAGAAACAAAGGATTTTTGAAAAACAGAAATCCCAGAAATAAAAACTACAATAACTGAACAATTGTAAATGGGTGGGTGGATGTACCAGCTAAAGAGGAGATAATAGAATGAGTCAATGAACTAGAAGATGGACCAACAGAAATTACCCAAGCTAGAGAACAGAAGGAAAGAAGATTTTTAAAAAGTCTCATGACTAGTTAAATAATATCAGTCTAACATACATGTAATTGGAGTCCTAGGAGGCAAACAGAGGAAATAGGGCAGAAAAAAATGTTTGAAGAAATAATAGCCACAAATTTGATGAAAGACAGAAATTTACAGATTTAAGATACGCCACAAACCCACCTTGATAAACAAAGAAAGACCACGCATAGGCACATCAGAATCAAATTATTGAAAGCTGAAGATGAAAAGCAGATCTTGAAAGCAGCAAGAGAAAAACAACACACCACACAGAGGGACAGCAATTAACAGCTGATTTCTCACCAGAAAACAAAGGCCGTAAGGGAGTATAACAACACCTGTAAAATGCTAAAAGAAAAAGGACAACTCAGAATTCTATATTCACCAAAAATATACTTCAAGAATGAAGTTGAAATAAAGACATGACAGATAAAAGAAAAACTAAAATTAGTTGCCAACAATCCTGCACTATAAGAAATGCTAAAGGAATTCTTTGGCTTGAAAGGAAATGATAACAGATGGAAACTCATCCTCAGACAGGAATGGAGCACATCAGAAATGGTATCTGGGTAAATATAAAGACTATTTTTAACTTTTTCCTTTTTCCCTATTAATTTCTTTATAATACATATGAATGTAGAATGCGAATATTTTTTTCAAGTACACATAATATTGACCCATATCTACTACATGCTGGGCCATAAAACAGTTCTCACCAAACGTAAAAATAAATTTAAATAAATGTAAAAGGATCAAGAGTATGTTCTTTGACAACAGAATTGAGAAATCAGTAGCAATAAGATAACTAGGTGGTTCAGTCTAGTTTAAACATGGCAAGTTTAATACAAAGAATCATTAAATTATTATGAGAGTAATTACAAGATGTAAAGAGAGTTCTAAAAAGGTATGAGGGCTGAGGGAGAGTACCTGAGGAAGGACACACTTGGCAGGTTCCACTACCGCCAAGGCTGGGGTTCAGGCCTCACTGTAGCCGGCTGGGTGGTGGACAAGTTTCCTGGTCTGCCCAGGCCAGACAGTTGCCAGGTCAAGAAACAACCCTCCAGGATGCAGGCAAACTGAGGCTGGTGGGCAGGTGCACAGAGTGTAGAGACATCACCTGCAGGCACTAGGCCAAGAGCACACACTCCCCACATTAAGATTCACCAGGGTACAGGTGAGCCAAGACTTGCGGGCAGGGGCATCAAGAGAGTTGGAGTGCCCCGTGTGCATGAGGCCTGGAGTGCGTGATGTCCACACAGGGCATGGAGGGCTTTGGGAATCAGCCCTCTGGGGAGAACAGCCAAGGTTGATGAGCAGACACTCGGAGGGAGCTGGGGCACTGCTGTGGGTACACGGTGCCCATGCCTGGAGGGCTTTGGGAAAAAATGTCCAGGCATAGGTAAACAAGGCTGAGGGGGCAGGGGCACAGAGTTAGGGAGTTGTCACAGGTGCAAGACCTGGAGTATGCGGTATCCATGACAGCAGCGCCACAGCAAAGTGGTCCAGGTCTGCAAGGCTGCCGAGGGAGTGTCTGCTCTTGGCATGCAGCTGGAGCACAGCAACGCCTGATGTCCCCCATGTCCCCATGCACCACTGATAGATCATGGTGCTGGAGCAAGAAAAAGCAAACCAGTGCTCTCAAATCCTTTCCTTCCGTGTCCCTCCAGTGCCCTCTACTGACAAAGCTTGCCATCGTCCTCATGGTGAGGGAGACATGCTTCCAGTTCTGTCCATTATGGCCGAACAAGTACTGAAGGGTGAATGTGGAGCTAAGAGGCAAAAAATAGGTACCAGAGTCCATCTTTTTGGCTATTCAGTTTTCCTACGCACCGTTCTACACATATTTGAACTTCTCTAGCAGTTAAATTCCTACCAACAAGATATATCTATCCATCCTTCTTAAAAGTGACGTTATCACCCTTCCCCCAAATGAGAGGACACATATAAATTACTCTCTCCAGGTTCAGGGAATTGCTTCTGCTCTTTCCCGTTTATGCCTAGAAGTAACAAGTGCTACCCCACCTCCACCCCAACTAGCTAGGAGTACACAGCACCGTCCTTAAAGGTTCGTCACTCCACTCAAATGATTTGGTTTGAGTGTGCCATCTGTTTCCTGTCCTACTCTGACTGACAATGGCCCTAACATTCAAGACAGCCCAAGTCCACTCAAAACCTGGTTTTCATCTACTCCCCTGCAGGCAATAACACGTTTATTGCTCTAAATCATATTCAGGCTTCAAAGCCCAGTTTACAGACCATCTCCTGGAAAGTCCTGTAAAGTTCTCTCAATTCCATCCCGGAGTACTTTGTCCTCTCAACTCCTCCAGCATGTTATAGGTCACGTGTTGATCACGTTTCATCTTCACACCTTCTGATTTGGTGCCTTCTACCTACCTAACACGGACGCACAAAAAACCCTAAACCCCCGAAAAGACGGCCTGATAAGACAAATGACCCCTAAACCCCACGCTGCACTTGCAGAACACTGTCGCGCACACTGTTTCTCATTTCAGACCGTTGTCAGAAGAGAATCGTGGTGGCTAGGGCCTATTTGCCAATCTTGTGGTCACACTGCCACACCTGGCCACTTCGGCCAATGCATTGTAACCTGGAGGTAGGGGAGTCCGAGAGTCTCCCTTGCCCCGGGGTCCTGTGGGCGATGGCAACCGTTCTCCCCAAGCCTCCGTGAGCCAAAATCCAAACGAAGGTCGTTTGCAGCCCGCTTCCTCTCTTGCGCACGCTTGGACTGCACCGATACGGCCCCGACCCCCGTTAACCATAGAGTGCCGCGGGCGGGCAGAGGGGCCAGAAGCCGAAGCCGCTCTGTCCTCCGCTTCCGGCAGCACCTCGTTGCTCCGGGAGTGGCTGTAGCCGCGTATGCAGTTTCCATGGGGACTGAAGATGGCGCCGCGAGGTGAGATTCCGGAGGTGTGTGAGTCGCTGGTCCCGATCCCTTCAGTCCTCCTTCTCCCCTCTCTCCCAGAGCTCGACCTAAACCCACCATTCTCGGGTGTTAGGGACACCACATCTCACTTGTCCAAAGCGGGACACCACATCTCACTTTCGCTGCCCCACCTGCCCTGAGTGTCTGAAGGTCTGGAGGGGACCTTTGGCTGCGCCTGTGCTAGACTGGCTCAAAGACGAATTTGCTGTGTAACCTCGAAGAAGCCAGTGCTGGTCTCGGAGCCCCAATTTCTCTTCCCAAATAGTGACGGGGTTAGATCTTAGGAGGGGCTTTGACTTTGACTTCCGACGCAGAAAGAATCGTTTGATGGTGATTCTGGGGAAAGAAGAGGATTGAAGGAAGCCCTGGCCACATCCTACACACACACACACACACACACACACACTATCAGCAACCACAAGTGCCCCATCCCACTGGCTGCGACCTCGTGTTTCCTCCAAGTTAGACAGAGAACCATTCAAAGAACAGAGATTGAACTGCCCTCCCGCCCATTGCTGTTCTCTGTGCTCATCTTTTCAGGTAAACGTTTGTCCTCCACTCCCCTGGAAATCCTCTTCTTTCTGAACGGGTGGTATTATGCTACCTATTTCCTGTTGGAGCTCTTCATATTTCTATATAAAGGTAAGACCTGGGTTTTGACTACCCTTACCCCCATCCCTTCCTCACTTCAGCCCAGAGGCAGCTCCCAGCAAGAGCCTTCTTCTTTTTCATTCTTTTCTGCAGCTCCTCTTCACTACAAGGTAGAAGTCTCCTCATCAGATGGCTTCCTTTGGGATTCAGTAGGAAGCCACTCAGCAAGAATTTCTTGAGTTTGGGAAATGTGGGCTTCTCCATTGTGACTCTCCTGTCACCTCTTTTTGTGAACTCTACTTTAAGCCCATTGGTGACCCTCAGAATCATTCTGCCTGTGTACCCATGTACATCTGATCATTTTGGAGAGTGGAGTCCCCACAAACTTTTGGAGTTAGGAGTAAAACCCCATAATAATGAGCCTGCCGCTGACATAGTTGCACTCTGAGTGAACATATACTGCAGCAGGTTAACAGATCCTGCCCACGTCTTACTAACCAGCTCATGGAAAGCTGATAAGACTCTTGTCTTCTTTAGTCCCGTGTGTGTGGGCGTTCTTGTGGGTGCTGTTATAGGTTATTTGCAAACTCTTGCTTTTGTTTTGGCAGGTCTCCTGCTACCATATCCAACAGCCAATCTAGTTCTGGATGTGGTGATGCTCCTCCTGTATCTTGGAATTGAAGTAATTCGACTATTTCTTGGTGAGTGTTGTCCAGAGAATATTTCTATTTCTTATGAGATGAGCTGGTATCTGTAACTTGATTAACAAGAGAAAGTACATAACCTAGGCTCACAATAAGAGATTGGATCTGGTGGCATATCCCATTACTCCCTTTCTGAAGTTTCCAACTGCTTTATATTTTGGGTCAAGATTTACCTGTCTGTTGCTCTGTAGGGCTAGACACGGGCAGTAGCATGAGATATTAGATAATTCCTTTCCAGTTACATAATTACTACAAGAGCGCCTGATTTCTCTCTCTGGTTTACTTGGCAGAATAGGTTCAGTTGTAATTCCATGTCCAGGGCAGCAGTATATGCCTGCACAGATCAGCACTAAGGTGCCCTCCAGACAAGGATTTGTTTAGGACAAATTTTACTTATATACGAGTATCTCCAGAAATACAGAGCAAATCTCTCACAAGTTAGAATATCTCATCTCAGAAAACAGTGTTAAAACTTAAACAGAAAAAAAAATAATACTTGCAACACATATGACAAAGGACAGCGCAGGCTCACATAAATCACTAAGGAAAAGACAACCTAATTTAAAAAATGTGTAAAGGACACTAATAGGCAATTCACATAAGAATAATTACAGAGGACCAATAAACATGACAAAATACCCAAACTCACTAATAAAAAGTAAACTGAAACAATAAGGGAACATTTTCATCCATCAGATTAAAAATATTTCCAATACCTAGTATGAGAATGGGCATGAGGAACAGATCTTTATAGTCCCACACTCTTGTGGGTATTTATATTCCCAGACTCTTTGGGAATATAAATTAGTACATCCTTTTTGCTAATAGTTTTACCTGGTAAAATTTGTATTCTTAGACTTAACAATTTTACTTCTAAAACAGGTTGGAAAAAAAAAAAAGAAATCCGCAGTTATGCAAAGATATCTATGTGAGGATGTTTATTTGCACATATTTCATAACACTGAAACATTAGAGACAATGCAAAGGTGTATCAATACAGGATTAATTGAATATTAATTGAATATTGAAATTGTTCATAGCCATTAAAAAACAATAGGGTAGGGCTGGCTGAGTGGCTCAGTTGGTTAAGAGCTCGCTGAAGAATGCAAGCTCTGAGTAACAGGGTCGCCAGTTCGATTCCCGAGCTGAGCAGCCAACAGGTGGCAGGATGACTCAGCTAAAAAAAACCCCCAAAAAACAATAGGGTAGTTATATGTGGAAAGATGTCTAACTTACGTCAAATGGGAAAAAGTAAGTTGCAAAACAGTATTAGAGTATGATTCCATTTTTATAATAAATAGTAATATGTGAGTATACACATTAAAACATCTGAAACGATATACATTTAATAGTTATATCCAGGGGTTGAACATAGGTCTTTCAGTTTCTATATTTTCTATATATTGGTTGAAAAGTTTTCAGTGATTATATATTATTTTTATAATTGAACCCACCCACCCCTCCCCAAAATAAAGATCCCATTGTCTTTTGAGTGGGAGTCAGACTGGAAGCAGAATCTTTGGAGTGAATGACTCCAATCCTAAACTCCACAAAGCCTCTCATTTTTAGCATAGTGGGACCCCATTAGTAAATCGGCACGTCCCCATTCAGAAACATTTTCTCTGCCTTGCCAGTCCATCACATCTCACCCACCTTTCTTCTGAGGCTGGGGAAAGCAGGCCACTTGGAGGTGATTCCATGGGCTGTGTCTGACAGGTACAAAGGGAAACCTCTGCCAGCGAAAGATGCCACTTGCTATTAGTGTGGCCTTGACCTTCCCATCTGCCATGATGGCCTCCTATTACCTACTGCTGCAGACCTACGTGCTCCGCCTGGAAGCCATCATGAACGGCATCTTGCTCTTCTTCTGTGGCTCAGAGCTGCTGCTTGAGGTGCTCGCCCTGGCTGCTTTCTCCAGGTATTGCTGCTGAGGGACCATATTCTGTCACCTGAGGGTTGGGTTCCCATCCCATCCCACGGAGGGAGTCATTGTTCTTCTGAAGACTGAGGGGTCTGGAGGACTTTTAAGGGGGAAAAGGGTGTCTGTGGGACTGCCTTTCCCATTTAGGGTAGACAGTTACCCACTTAGAGAAGATATTCTTGTTCTTTGGGGCCAGGAGGCTTGGAATGTAGAACAGTTCAGGCCAGCTGCTCTTGTTTACTGGTCTTTTAACATTTTCTTTCTTTCTTTTTTTCTGCCATCAGTATGGACAGGATTTGAAGTACAAAAATTTCAGCCAGCAGCCCTCATGGGCTGAGACCACACACACTTCTGGTACTTTGGCCACACCAGTGAGAAATGGTGGGTCAAGTTGTCCTGGGAAAAGTTGCAGCTTTTCCTCAGCACAGACATTTGGGCGACAAACTGAGCATAAGGCCTCTGGGCACCATCTTCTAAACAGGACCATCAGCCTAAGAGACTCTTCTATACTTCAGTATAGGGAGGGGCAAGGCTGTCCCCTTCCTGGCCCTTCTCAGAACCAATTCCCTGCTGACCTCAAGTTCTCTTTGATCATCGTGGCCAGATCATCTTGTGTGGACCATGCAGGCTCCTTGGGCTTCCGGCAGGACCTGAGCCACATGCTGTGCCACACCTGTCACGTATGAGCACGGAGAGCCCCAGGATGGTGTGCTCCGAGTGATGCAAAGGCCTCTTATCCATTCTTCAGAGACTGAGCTCCAGAACTTTTTTAGTAGCTCATAGTGTTATTTTTCTATTCTCATCATGAAACAAACATTACTTTATAATAAATATGTATTTTCTGTTGTGCAGCCTTTTCCTTATGGCACTTGTCCCTAGAAATTCATCCACTCAGAAGGTAGAGACTATCCCAGCGGTTTGTTCCCAGGCTGTGCTGAGTGGTCCAGTATGGACACAGACAGCGATAAAGATGTCCCACTGACTTTCTTCCCCCAGTTCCAGCATGAATTAATTCCTAAAGGCACTGCCAGCTTCTGCAGTTCAGGTCTGTCATTCTGCAAAAGACTGCTTATATTCTTCACCTCTACCCCAAAGCCAGCGTTTTGTCCCTCATTCTTCTTACAGATAATTCCTCCTACAGATCCTTTCCAGGGTGAGGTGTAAATGGAAGAAGCATATTCTAAACTTACCAATATTTGTTGGTCATTTAAAATTTCTTAACATGAAAGGAACACGTACTTTTTTTTTTTAAGCTGGAGAAATGTTGCCCTAGATGAGTATATTGCCTTCTTCAAGTAGCCATCTTTAAAACTTTCTCTTCTTCATTGTTAGTGGCCCTTTTCTTAGCCCCAAGAAGCCACCAGGAACCATGGTGGAATCCACTTTAGGAAACCTTGAATGATGGCCCTTCTTTTCAGGCGAATCCTAGAATATGTGCACTTACTCAGTAAAAAGTAATTGGCCTTAAAGCATTCCATGCTGTTTTTAACTCTGCTTATTTCCTGTGATCAGGCTTATCCTCATGCTATAAAGGTCTCCACTGTCCAATGCACTGATCCTTTTTCTTGTTTTCTATCCCTTTTGTGTCTTTGCCTCCTAACTGCTTTTGGGGGTCTACCAAAAAACCATAGATGGGTCTACTCAACCATGAAACAGTATCAAAAACTCCAACAGGAATGTCCCTGATATATATATATATATATATAT